ATCAGTGCTAGAAGTTCTGTATCGACCACAGCAAGCGAATCATGTTGAACACTGTCACTGCTCCATAAACCTCCCTTTCTCTAGTCGCCCTCCCTTTCCACATCTGCTGATCTACTGTCTCCATGGTTTTGCCTCGTCTGCTGTGTGATATAATTGCAATTTATCAGTAACCTTTTCCAATTGACTTTGGGCCCCTGATAGATCACACAACTTATGTTTCTTCGTGTGCTTTCTCATCTTGCTAGCTCGTCTCTTTTTAGGGTGGAATAATATTGTCTGATACATTTACTTAACTCATTTGCACTGCAGTTACAAAATTCCAGAGGCTGGATAATTTATAAAGAACACAAATTTGTTTCTTCTCATTCTGGAGGCTGTTGACAAAATGCAAATAGATCTGATGTTCTAGAGGGGGTTGCTGTTCGCTTTCAAGATGCCTCTGCATGGGAGTAACTACAGGGCAGGAGTGAGCCTTCAAACTGTGTGTGTGTGTGTGTGTAGGTTAAAAGTCAACTGCAAGTGTTGTCTCTTAGGAATGCTTTTACAAGGTAGAATTTTTTTTTTATTGGCCTCTGAGGATCACAGTGAAACTAGGCTGGCTGGTTAGTGAGCACCATGGATCCTCCTGTCTCCTCCTCCCCCGTGCTCAGTGTTCACTACCACCTACAGCCTTTTTACATGGGCTCTGGTGACATGAACTCAGGTCTTCATGCTTGCATGACAAGCACTTTTCTGTCTGAGCTATCTTCCCAAACTCTTATTACAAGCTTTATTTATTTATTTATTTATTTTTTGAGACAGTGTTTCCCTGTGTAACAGTCCTAGCTGACCTGGGACTAGCTCTTGTAGACCAGGCTGGCCTCAAACTCACAGGGATTCACCTTCCTCTGCCTCCCGAGTGCTGGGATTAAAGGTGTGCACCACCATGGCCCGACACAAGCTTCTTTTAATTGGAAACTTTAAAAGCGCTCACAAGTGTCTCTCTCTTTGTGTGTGTGTGTATATGTGTGTGTATGCGTGCCTACCTCTTGTGGGAGTGGGTTCTTTTCTTCCACCATGATGGTCTTAGGGATCAAACTTGGGTAAAGCTTGGTAGCAAGAGCTTTTGCCTATTGAGCCAGCTGACTGGCTCACAAACTTTGAAGACCTGAATCACCTTGTAAAGGCCTTTTTTTCCTTAAGGCTATCAAACTGGCCGTTAAGTTTCATCAAATGAATAACAAGAGATAAGCTCACAAAAGGGGCTGTTCAAGAAAAGGCTCAGGGGAGGAAGGAGAACTTGGAGAATACCAAGGCAGGCACAAAAGACAAGAAGAAAATTCCCACAAAGGAGTCAGGCCCCTGCTGTTGGGAGGCAGGAGTCAAGGAAGTGTCTTTAGAAGGTTGTAGGCTTCTGGAGTGGGAGGCACAGTGAGTTTCCACTAAGTGTAGGGGTAGCTGGAGTATGGGGCGCTTGGACACAGTGAGATGCAAGTGTAGTTGTGAAAGCTCAAGCTAGTGGGGCTGAGGGAGACACAGATTTAGGAGGCTGAGCCTCAAGTCCTGAGCAGTGGCAGCAGAGATCCCGGGTGGGAGGCATGCTGGTCCCTCGAGCATGTGCCAGGATGGGGCTCACCTAACAGGCCATTTGCCAGCTACCTATCTGGACACAGTAGAGCAGGGTTGGGAGGACTATTTACAATGAAAACTTGCTAGACTCTACACAGCAGGACAGGTTGGGGTGAGGGTCTGGAGGGGCAACCAGGCAGCAGGACTTTGGGATCTGAATCTCAAGACAGTTTGGTCTCCACTGGTGGCCAGTGTGTAATGGGACCAGGAAACCAGCTAGCCAGCCTTGCTGACTGACAGCGAAAGACTCAGAACCAGTCAAATGGAGAGTACAGGGTTATACGGAAACCCCTCAATATTTCAAGAATTTGATTTAGCTCCAAATAAGGCTGATGCATTGTAGTTGTTTGATGTTCCTAAAGTCTTCGATTTACTGCCCACTTCCCCCTCTTACCCATGCACTCCATCTCTGTTTTGTTGAAGAAACTCTGATTTATTTTTCTTGGGACTCAATCAGGCTCGGCCTCAGCAGGACTGCTTAGATGCTGCGCCCTGTTTACCTGTGTCAGGCCCTTTATAAGTTACACTGAGATCCATTATTCACGAAGGTACTAGACAGGGATATTACTTCTTCCCTTAGCCAACTAGGCTCCTGCCGTGCAGACCTTCTCTTCCTTACCCATTGGTTAAGTGATAGTTTGCATAGGAAAAGGCAGGAGAGATGCTCCTTTCTTTTCTTTTCCTAAACATAACTGTTTAGGAAATATTAGGTGCATTGAAATATTCAACATGGAGTAAAATGTTTAACTAAAACACATTTATTTTCATTTTGTGTGTATGTACATGTCTATATATTTGAGCACACATATACCATGTTGCATGTGTAGAAGCCAGAGGATAACTTGTGGGAATTGGTTCTCTTCTTTGCCTCTATAGATCTTGGGGATCAAACTCAGGTTGTCAGGCTTGGTGGCAGGTGCCTTTGCTCACCGTGGCCCCACATTCGTTTTTTAAAGAATCATCCTATCTGATGCTCAGCTGTATTTAGATCTTTGAAATCAGTTCCTGCTCTTGTGGTTGCCAGACTGTGGCTCGTCGTGCCCAGGGAGAGATTGGTATTTATCACCCTCTGAGCAGTCCATCTTCCGCAAAAGCTGAGGACATTGGTATCAAATTCAGTTTTACAAAATAAGAAAAATGTACTTCTATTTTTATGTTATCTTGGAGGAAATCATATCTGGACCAGTCAAATGTGTCACAGATGACTTAGAAGACCAGGTTCAAGCATGGAAGATTATAGATTTCAAACAATTATTTACAAAGTGAGGGTAGGGCAATGCTTTGAGAAACTATGGGAAAGACAAATCCTCACTCTATAGGGTTCCCAGAGTCCTACCAGGAAAGACATGGGCAGATTTGAACATGAGTTTAGAGGGATTGTGGGAAATACCCAAGGCTCTTAAGCTGTATGTACGGCTACACGCTTTCCTGGAAACGGTCAAGATTAACAGGTCCTTAGTGATTTTAAGTTATCGCTTCATGAGTAACCATGGACTGGTTAGCTTCTGTCCATTTGACACAAACTAGAGTCACTGGGGAAGAGGGAACCTCAGCTGAAGAACTGCCTCCATCAGATGAGCCTGCCAGGTACTTCTTGACTAATGATAGTGGTGGGAAGCCCCAGCCCATTGTGGGTGGAGCTACCTGAGCAGGTGGCCTGGGTTACGTAAGAAAGCAGAATGAGCAAGCCATGGAGGCAAGCCAGAAAGCAAGCAGTATTTCTTCACATCTGCTTTAGCACCTGCCTCTAGATGTGGGCTCCTGACCTGGCTTCCCATGATGGCGGATTGGGACTTGTAAGGAGCCCCAAGGTGCTTTTGATCACGGTGCTGATCATACTGACAGAGAAGCAAACTAGAATACCATATGCGCATGAGGTCTGTGTCTTGTGGTTGGTTGGAGGTGGCATAGATGTGTGGAAATTAAAACTCCGTATTCAGAAGCTCTAGCTTCCCTCCAGTTCTAGGGAGATTCATATTCTAGTACATTCCTCTCATGGGAACAAGGTGCTCTGGACAAAGGGACGTTAGGTTTGTAGGCTGAGCTATCACCTTGCTTATACATCTGAAATAAGTCTTGTGTTGGATTTGCATATTCACAATATTAAACACAAAATAGACTTAGCTAGCACAGAAGTTGCCCATCAGGTCAGTTGGAAAGTCTCCATTGATTCCAGCGTGACCTGGGGATGCTGTGATCACAACTGCTGTTAGATAACTGGTTTCTCATCATCACTTTGTGTGCACACACCCTGACAGAGTGCTGAGCACCTAGGAAGAGATTATCCTTAGAGTAAGTGAACTCACTGGGGGGAGCTAAGAAAGAAACCTCAGCTTCAACTCTAAACGAGTTAAGGCAATGTAAGAGGACAGATACATTAAGATATGATTTATCATTCATGTACAGAGATCGGCTAGGTCATCATAGTATCGGCATTACCAGAAGGAAACAATGGAAAACATACATGATCAGAGCTGCGTATGGTGGCATGTACCTGCAATCCCAGCACTTGGGAAGCAAAGGCAAGAGGACCATCGTATCTTAAAAGCAGCATGGGCTACATAGTGAGTTCTTGGCCAGTCAGGGATCCCCAGAAAGACTATCTCGGAAAACCATCACTATACTTGAATGAAAATGCCCTTATATAACCAAAAAATCCACGGCCAGCTCCCTCTTCCAGCATCTGGATCTACTGAAATGATGCGAACGAGGCCTAGTCACTCTTATTTCTTAAAGCATCCCTGACTGCTGGTGATGCTCAGACAAGTCTGAGGACTGAGCCGAGGTCACTGAATGTCACCCAACAGAGGAGCCGCTCCTGAAGAATCCTCAGCTCCTGTTATTACTGTTTATTTTCTCCCGTGAGAGAAGCAAAGCAAGACACCTTTAGATAAAACATCACTCCATTTACACCATCTGAACCACTTGCTTCTCTAACTCCGGAAGCTGAACAAGGCGCAACTGTGACAGGAATTAAACTCCAGATACTCTAGATGGGACCAGTGCCTTGCTTTTGGGTGTTGCTGATCCCACACAGGTGTAAGAGACGTATCTGAATTTGAATTTCCACAGTGAGGAAGCTGAGAAACTAGACATCAGAATCTGGGCTTAATCAAATTAATGAAGACATTGCTCTTTGCTTTACTACTATATCCGGAAGATGTCAGCTGTCTGCAATACAATGGTGACTTCTGATTCCACTGTGTCCTTTAAGATCACAGGGCTCACAAGATTTCAGACTATTGTCCTTTCTTATCAATGAATTTCAAAAGGGTAAATTATTTAGGATTTCCTTAACCATTCTAAGGTTTGCATGACCTACCCCCCCAAGCTCTAGAGGATCAAGTTCTAGAGGATGCCCCACCCCACAAATATCAACCAGGCAAGAAATGTTTTGGGTTATTATGTGTGTGCTTTTTTTAATTGTATAATTCATTTATACAAAGAAATCATTTGATTGTTCTATTTACAGCCTTTTCCAATTTTCATTTTCACTGGAGATATATTTCACAGAATGGTTAACAATGACTTGAACTGATCGCCAGTTTAAATCTGGGCTTACATGGGACCTCAGTCCTCCTCCCTCAAAAGCATGACCACATTTCTAATACAAACATTTTGCAGTGAAGAATCACCACCTTCTTTTTGAAACGAAGAAATCCAACCAGAATTAACCTAACATAGTCAAATTTCCAACACATTTTACGGTTTCTTTTCAAATTCAGTATTTGCAGGTATGAGAAACCAAAGCAAATACAGTTCGCACCCCCTCTGGCCTTCTACAACTTCCTACACACCCTCAGGTCAGACTTTTCCTGTCACCCTCTGCTCCTCTGGCCCAGCCAGACATTTACTTTAGACGACTCCTCTTTCCCTTCCCTTCTCTTCACTATTCCAGTCTCCTGCCTTCTCCTGCTTTCCACACAACACGAAAACTTTCACCAAAGTCCTTCTTGTGGTTCCTCTCAGTAGTCTAGAGTACACTAAGTCATCCCATGGGTCTTTACTACCCTGACATGATACATTGTAAAAACTGCAGTTTTCTTAATTGGCTCAACATTATGGCTTGGTTTCACTTAGTAAAATTAATACGATCACACACACACACACACACACACACACACACACACACACACTTACTTTAATCAGAAAGAAAAACTTTAAGGACATGCCAATTTTTAAAAAGGCATCAACGTAAAAAAATAAAAGCAAATACTAAAAACTACTTTACAATAAAAAAATTAAATAGTTGGCAGAATAAATGAATGAGAACTGAGGAATGTGAGGTGAGAACCTGACACAAGGCATTCCAGTTGACAAAACGGAAAACACACCAAGCTTGGTGACTGCTTTCCAAGGAAGCAGTGCTTCACTGTAAATGTGGAAATATTTCAAACTCAAAAATCTTCTATGTAGATTGTAGGTGTCATTATTAAAGTTTCATTCATCATTTGAGGTTTAACAAGGAACACTGATAGAATTTCAGCATTTACAAAACTAAGTTTGGCAAACACTGTAAATATCACATTTGGTTGCAATTGGGAAGTCAAGGTGAACCCAGAGTCAGGACAACACTGGTTTCATATATATTTCTTCTGATAAAAAATACCAGGTTGGTATGTTCCAAATAATCCATGAAAATACCTCTTTAAAGTCTGCAATTTAACAGTAATCTGTATATCTTTAGCTGCCATTAACAACAACGACAATGACAATAACAAGGGGGAGGGAGGGGGAGAGAGTAAGAGAGAGAGAGAATCCCAAACCATGAACACATTACAGCTGGTACAGAGTAACCCTAGGATGCTCCCATTACAAGAAAAAACTGTACAAATTTATAAATAAACAGCCTTCCGCCAGAGAACACACATTTACACCAGAGTCTCTTTCCTGTTGCCACCTGACTGGGCTTTGTCCCTTGCTCTCCGCAAGCCAGGCTGTGCTCGGTGTGCCTTCCCGCTCTTGGTGTCTTCTGTCTGCACGCTGGAGCCACATTCCAGCGCACTTTCACTGTCTACCTGCATGAGCCCCGGAACCATGGACGACCTTCGCTGGGCTTGGAGATTCCCAGCTGGGGGGTTGTTCTCCTCACACTCTTCATGCAGCTCTGGCAAGCCCTGCAGCTCTAGGGGGCTGGCAGCCCGCTGGAAAGGGGCCATGGCAGAGCGAATACAGTTGAACCATTGCTGCTTATGGAACACGTCATTGGCCTGTAGTGTGTGGGACTGGCCTGGACAGGGGTCTTGGAAGCGGACTCTAAAGATATTTTTAGCTGAAGGGAGAAAAAAGGAATCAAGATTAAAAAAGTGGTCATATAATTTAAGCAAAGTTCTAGTATTTATGTGACACACACTCTTAAGATGGCCACTAGCCAGAGGTCCCTGACCAAGTTCAATTTTGTGTCAGTACATAACTGGGGAACGAGTTTATTCTTATACTTAAGGGTCAAGACTAACTTCATTTGGGTACATTCATTTCTTCTCATTACTGTTGTTTTCGAGATGGGGCTCTCTGTAGCCCAGAATGGCTTCAAATGGGCGCTAATTCTACTTCAGCCCTTTTCTCCCCACCCAATCTGGGTCCTTTGTGAACTTTCTAGAACTTATATCTTACCTTTGTCTGAGTTGCCAAAAGCCCCTCGGAAGGAACCACCCATGCGCACATCTCCATCCTGCAGGTCTTCCAGCACCAGCTCCTGCACAGGGATTGGCTGCCGGTAAACCTGGTAAGAGTGACGCTCATTTCGTGTGACGGGCCGAGTCAAAACCAAGATGTCTTGAAACAGGAAAATGTACAGTTTCTGCAGAAATGAAGAAAAAACCCAAACTTCCTAAGTAAGGAACTTGATTGTTAAAGAACTGGATTTGACATTTAGAGTTCTGATTTTCCTTTATAAATGGCATCATAAAATAGTGGTCTCAAGGCCATGTGGGTTTTGCTTGGAGCATTAAACTTCAGGCTACCTGACGTTCTTTTCTTTCATTGGGCCCCACTGACCAGGTTAGGCAACAGCTGAGTAAACACGATGTATTGCCAAGACCTGCAAATCAGCAGGAACAGGTTTGAAACTCCAGTACTGTCTGCACGCTGCTACAGTGTTCATGGTTCATCTGTCTACACAAGCCTAAGTCTGTTGAGAACAATTGGGCCCTAGGATAGAAATCAGATAGGCTGGATTTCAACTTGTTCTTGTTCTTAAACAGCCCCAATTTATACATACAACACTGGGAAGTACATATAAAACAAAAATACCATTCCTGACTCCTATCCAGAAGATTCTTTTGTAATTAATATTTAAAAAATAAAATTGCTTTATTTAATTTGATGCAGAATTTCAGAGTTAAAACCACTAACATCACTATAAAAGATCCATTTTCTGAGGTGTGTGTTTATGAAACATTAACAGGAGACCCCAGCCACACACATTGGTTTACAGTTCACAACTGGATATGAATGACTACTTGCCGAGGTGTTTAAGTATTATTTTATTTTTATTTATTCAGAAACCAAATGCTTGCTTTACCAAAGCTGGTCACATAAACAAGCAGCAACCTTCTTGCGAGCAGTGGGCTTATCTTTACACACTTGCCTCATAATTTTGTGCGGGAAATTAAGCAGGCTGGGAAAAGGGAAGTAATGGCTTCCTTCTGGTTCGTATTCTAAGCACTCACATGGCCACTTTTATTCTTCAGCTCCCCATGGCACAGCAGCACTTTGCTCGCTTCGATCCTGGGGTCCTTCTGCTTCTCGTCCAGGTATTCCAGCTTGTCGATGTAATACTGACACTCGGATTCACCTTTCTTCAAGTTGATGTCAGAAAGAACTCCTTGTATTATCAATACCTAAAAATGATAAGAAAACAAAGCAGATGGAACAGCTGCTGCATGTCAACCTCCCTCCCTCCAGAGAAAATATTCACAAAGGACGGAATCTAAGGCCTGAATGGATCCTAGAAATCAGCCCAGCCAGTCTCTACATTATACACGCAAGGACTCAGTCCCAGCCACACTGAGGGACTACTTCACGGCCTCCGGACAGTGGAAGGAACAAGATTCAAGCCCAGTCTCTTGATGACATGAGAACTGAGAGGATCACGCTATGTTTTTCTAAGGTGATTGATGCCAAACTTGGAATACTTGTTTATTACTTACTGCTTCCTCCAGCAGCTGAACATCTGGGTGGTCTTTTGCCGTGTGTCTAAGGATTTCTTTTAACAGTAAAGGGTATTTGACAAGGCGACTTCGAGGGATATCCAGGAAACTCCAAAGGTCTAGTTTTCGACTGAAGGGAGACTCCAGACAGCGCTGGAGGAAGTCCTGGACTCTTGGGTCTTGTTTCTTCTGATCCAGAAGAGCCTTGGCTGCCAGCTGGTTACTACAGTAGCCTTTGTAGGCATTCAGGCCTGGTAACTAGAGATTAAAAACAAAGCACAACACAACGCTGCTATGACTGGTGCATGAGCAAACGATGAGCACAAACCACAACAGACAGCACAGCTACACGTGTGTTTCACAGGTCAACTGAAGACTCATGACTCTACTTCCCCGCCTCACTAAGATGTCAGCTATTTGTGCTCCCAGACACCCGAGCTGCTTCTATCACAAGCCTCACAATCCTGACACCCCATGCCTGCTCCTTCTCCTGTGCAGTCATAAACATAGAAACAGCTTTCATTTCTGAGTCCCCAGGAATTCTCCTTCAACAGCAGGCACTCAGGCATGTACATGAGAGACTGTAACAGCTGACGCATAGCATTAGGGAATTCTGCTTAATCAAGGACGTTATTTGTAAGCAGGTCTGTAACACAATCAAGCTCTGTATTTTTTACAAGATTATAAGTTCGTATCATCACAACTTTGCTGGAGTCTGGTGTTTCATAGTTTTTAGAATCTAGTGGAGTAACATCCCAGGCTGCAGCATGTCCTGTTACATATGATGACCTGCTGACATACCCAGTTCACGAGGATGTGACCGATCTGTTCCACTGTCCCATCAGGCTTGGTTGCTTCTCCTATTCTTGCCAACAAATCTGAAAAGTGTACAAGAGCAAAAAGAGCAATGATATGCTTACTGAAAAAGAACTGGTAAGTACCACATTATTATTAACTTAAAATAACATGTGTTTAGTTCTAGTCAGAGACAAATGGAAGCTAAGAGCAAAGCTGACCTTCATGCAGAGGTATGTAAGCGTCCAAATCACCAAATATATGTGTGAGTTCCTCTTCTGACATGATAGACAACTTTAACATGGGATCATGGTAGGCCTATTAGAGGGGAAGAAAGCATCACGTAAAGAATGGGCATAGAAAACACTTGAGCAACCTGTCCTTGAGTACACCCTAGTAACTACATAGCAATGACACAGTTTTGGAGAGACTTCAGTTATGTTCATCCCTAAAGGCTTACTAGAGGTCACATTTGAAAAGCTGTGTTTCAATCTCAAGTCAGAGATGTATTCAGCAGTAAAATGCTTTTACTTTCCACTTTAAGGGTTAAGAAGCTGTGAAATGTCTTTTGTAAGACTGGCACATGTCAAATGCCTACTGACCTTCCTAGCAAGCTTGAGGTCCTCGATTAAGTCCTGTTCGCCTCGGGACAATTCATATATTGCCTAAAAACATCCAGAAACACAAGAAGTCAGAAATGAAAATGATGCAATTAATATTTACAGTGCTTGATGTTTTAAACAGCTCTTTTAAAGAGACCTGGTCTGAAAATTCTAGTTCAAGATGGACTCTCAAGTAAATTTGCAATTTTTTCTATCATTTACCCATCAGAGTTGCTGTTACAAACTGTTACAGACTGGGTGGCTATGAACAGTTGCTTAAATAAGAAAATTAGCTTCTATTTCTTCTGGCAAGACATTAATTTAAAAACTCTTTTCTTTCTTGGTGTAACTCAGTAAACACGGTTTGGGTACTGAGTGCCAGCATACCTCCTGACGTTTGATCTCTCGAGTGGTCAGGGACTCCTTCATACTGATGTCTAGCATCTCCGACCATAGCACACTACTTCTTCTCTTGGTGGGTGTTGGGACCGTAGACCTGCTGAATGACTTCTGGGCAGAGGCTGGGGATCTATGGTCACCACGAAGGGTAAATGACTTAAAAGAGGCAAATGAAAAAGAAAATGAGATTTGGAGGCTACAACAATTATCCTATATTAAATAAAAAACACATTATAACAAATTAAAACACATTTTTTGAGAATATTTCAGTATGTAAAGCAATCATTTAAGTTTTAATCTAACAGGCAAAACTACTTATCAACTCCAGTTAGTTTTGGGGAATTAAAATGGTCTAAGAGGAGCCTTTGACAAAGGATCCAAGTGAACAGAGCTTATACAAACACTGCTCTGGTAAGATGTATAACAACGCAAACATGTTTGTACAGCTCAAAGGAAAACAAATTGTAGGCGTCTATAAAAAGCGTCCTAAGTACACTCTTCCTTCTCTCCTTTTTACCTGTATGGTTTGACCAAAGCGCCTGACTGCTCCATTTCTGACGGGAGAGATTAAGTTTGCCAAGGATGTGACCCGAGCTAGAGGCCGAACTCTTTTATTGCTTGGTTCCTGGGAAAACAAAACAGATTACAATAAATATGTGTTGAGGTGTAATGATTTCATACAAGCCCAGACAAAATTAAACCCTCTTACAAAACAGTGTTTGTATAAGACAGGGAGACAGGGAACTACAAAAATGACTGTTGTTCTTCATGTTAAACTAGAACAATACCAAATAACAACAGCTTAAGAAAACCAATGTCTCATCCCTGTCCCAGTATTGTATGATTCCATTCTTAACTACTTTAGCTGGAGGATCGATCACCTTTAAACATGTCTGACACTGAATTAGGTCAAAGAATGCTCACGCCCAGGCAGAGGGGAGGTTCAAAGGACTCCTAGGTTTGGACAGGCCTAGAATCCTGGCTCCAGCTCTTGTAATGGCCCAGCCAGAGCCTCGCTTGTCTGGGCTAAGAACCAGCAAAGCCTTTAAAATATCGCATAGCAAATATGCATTAATATTCATAGATTTCTAAACTTCACAAAGTTAGTGTGAGACACACGGGGGACATATCATCAGATGACTTTAGACTGTCACCGAAATAAGGAACTCCCAATAAGGGGATCTGCAGGGGGAGCATACATTGTTTGCATATGGGACCTTTTAAGTGTCACACATGATAAAATAATTTTGATGAGAGTTCAGAAAGATAATTTAAAATTATATTAAGATCACCAAGGCCAGGCATGGTGGTGTACACCTTTAACTCTAACACTTGGGAGGTAGACTCAGGTAGATCTCTTTGAGTTCAAGGCAAATTTGGTTTACAAAGAGAGTTGTAGGCTAGCAGGGTTAGAGACCCTGCCTCAAAAAGAGACCATCATTAAATTAAAAAGTATAAAAATAACCTTATAATGTAAGAACAAATTGGGAGAAAAGTTTGAAAGTAGGTAGGAGCTTGAATGACTCAAACAGCCCAAGCGGCATGTGGGCACACACACAAAAAGCAACGCCAACGACCGAAGAGACTTCAAAGGGAATTCAACTTTGGAGGCTTTAAGAGACAGAGTTGGAAACCACTCCCTCCCTCCTCCAAATACTAACTGCGAAGCAAAATGTAAACTATAAAACCACGATGAGCTGAGAAAGAAGCCTTTGAGACGTGTAGTGAAATGGCACACGCTGCATGACGGAGGACATGTGTGAATGTCTGCAGCACACATCTGCGCTGACTGAGTGACACACGCGTGTGCAGGGGCAGCTTGAGGCATTCCTTTCCATTTAGTAAAGACAGCACAAAGAGTCTCCTGTTTGAATGGAGATAGAATTACCTCACAAAGCAAGATATGCCAACATTAACCAGACACAAAGCAGCTGCCACGACTCTCTTGTGCTTTGGGAAGCAGAGGTTAGCACCTCTTCCCTGTTCAAAGCATAAAAATTTCACTTCCCAGTAAATCACCAAATCTTTAATTTCCAGTGGAAGGTCCTTAGAAAGGTGCACCTCCCAGGGAGTCAGAAAGTAAAAGTCAATGTGGGATTTTTGATATTATAGTACTAAATAAAATTACTGATAGATTCTTGTCTTTATAAGACTAGTTATTGTAAAACTACTAATTTCTTAGTAATGAAAAGTTCTATCATGTTTAAAGTGAAGGAGGCATAATTATGATTATTACTGTGCTGAGGACTAACCCAGGCCCCTGTGAGTGTCAGGCAGGCATCCTCTCACTAGAGACCTAGAGCATTTAGACTTAGGTAACAATATGTTGATTGATGTAAAAGCACATTTATAGTTTATAATTTATACAGATTTCGCTCATGCATTTCTTTAGGCTAAACATATTCATAGTTCTTTAAAACTAGGTACAATCTCTCTTCTTTATAAAGGATGTCATTATTCAGTCTGTAAAGTCCAAAATGATTTATAAGGAAGTATATTACACTTGGTGGGTTTGGACAGATTGCCAAGAGTTCTAGAAAACCTGGCCTAGCCTGGGTGACCTGAGAAAAAACAAAACAAAATAAAACATGCAAACAAAAATGGCAAACATGGTGGAACAACCACTTGGGGACTCCTACTCAAATAAAAAAAAACTTTAAAGAAAGGTAAAGTGTAACACTGGAAATGGCCTACTGTTAAGTTTTAGGATACAGATACTGTTTGAAGAAAAGAGCATACATAAGAGTTTTTGTGGAGAAGTGGAATGGATTAGGCACTCAAGAGTCACCACAACAGCAGGGACAAAAATCCCTATCTTTAGGAACATGGGTTATAACGTGAACTGTGTAAATCACAAGCAAAAGTAGTTTTTCTTCTACAGGTCCAAGAGAACCACTTTAGTTATATGCATTTATTAAGGACATGAACATCTGTATTATAAGTGTTGTTAAACCCACATTCACTTCTCCCTATAGACAGGACCCAGCAGGGACATTTGGAGGTGATAAAAGTGCACACCCACAGGCACCCACACATAGGGACACACAGACACAGACACACCCACACCCACAACTCCAAAGGCAAGGCTTAATTATATAATGGTGGTGACGACTTGCTTGGAGTGCTGGAAGCTCATTACAGTAAACATAAACAGCTTAAAGACATCCATGGACATTGATACCATACACTCTCCCCTCAAGACAAGCAGCAAATCTGGGAACCTAAGAGTGTTAAGGAGGCTTACCCTCAAGGAACTTCCGTGGGCAACCTTTTATGAGGGCTAAGTTCACTTGGAAGGGAAAAACACTGCTCTCAGAAGTCTATTCTGTTTACACAGGTTAATCTTTAACCAACTATCTAGTTTAGACAGCCAGAGAAATCTGCCTGACCCTGGGCTTTTAAGTTACTGATTTTCACAATTCACCTCCACTCACTTTATGCGCTAAAATATTTTCTGAGTGTCTATAAACAGAAAATGAAGTCTCCTTTAAAGTCTGACTGGGATGTATCTCTATAAACACGGCAGCCTGGATGAAACCCTTCATGAAGTGGGCTTTTGTAAAGTTTTTTACCTAATGATGCCATTACTGGGCATATTTTAGAGCCAAATAAAACTTTAAAAAGAATGTATCTCGCTTTATTCCTTTAGGATTGCTTATACATAATTTCTCATTTGACAAGAACTTTAAAACCAGAAAAAGAATAAAAAAAAGTTGTTTTTTTTTTTTTTTTGAGAAAGATGAAGCCAACATTTGATCACACAGCATCCTCTCTTTACACTCAAGTCATTAAGGCTGTGTTGACAGTTCTAAAGTCTGAACCCCATCCCTGGTGATCTTAATGCTCCAATTAAAGGGGCGAGGAGAACACTGCGTCTCACTAACCAAAAAGCTCATCCTTGATGGCCCAAAAGATAGCTACTTTGAGTATTTCCAGTCATGGCCTTGTAAGAAGCACATTCTCTTCCAAGAAAATGCTTATTCATCTTATAAAACGTAAGTACAATCCAAAACCAAATAACAAAACTCACTATCAGCCCCCAAATAAAGCCATTTTCTGAAGATGGTAGTTTAATACCCCAAACGTATGTATAACAAACAGCTTCCCTGAGACACGAAACAAACTGCTCATGCTTAAAACGGACAATTACATCTATTTTGGCAAAAAAACCATCACTGCCATTAAGAGATTTGTTTAGTTGAACCCATAACCATTTCTACCACGTAAGTGAGCAGGCAGCAGGACACTGAGAGACACAATCAACTGCTAAGATTACATAAAATGCGTAGGATAACTTTTTTCATAAACGTTCATAGAGACTTTTGAAAGTCAAAACCACAGAGAAACCCTGTCTCGAAAAACCAAACAAAATGATTTCAAAGCAAGGCAGGCTGAGCGTCAGGGTTCCACTGGCTTGAATCTTCTTTCAGAAGGGCACAGGGCAAACTGAACTAAGTACTGTGGAAAGGAAAAGGAACACGAATCCCGGGTCAGGCTTTACTCACTTGTCCACCAGCGTCGAGAGGAAAATATTCTTATTTTTACTTCCTCCCCTAAAGCGGTCCCTTAGACTTAGTAATGTAAGTTAAAAACAAAGACCACTCATAAAAACACAGCCATATCAAACATGAGAAATGTTTATTCAGCGACGTATATGTATTTTAAATCTTCTTTGTATGTAAGCAGTACACAATCTAGCGATGTTACATACAAAAAAGCTGCCTAAACATAGACCACAGTTCCTAAACACATTTCAGGCTTGCTTAAAAAGTTACACATTTTAAGATTTAATACAATTAAAAGTTTAAAGTAAAATTTTAAAGTCTTAGAAGTTTTGCAGATCTGTTTTTCTTACCTCTTGCTCCCTGAAGGGCTGGTTATTAACATCCAGGACTCGGATGGTCCTTTTAATGGGCAGAAGACCTCCGATCTCATCATGAGCCACCATGCTTTACAAGTGTCCCTTCAAACCTTTCGGGTTAGTCCCCCTGAGAGTCAGCCCCGCAGGGCAGTACCTCCAAGGCGCCCGGGCTTTTCTTCCCAGTGCTCAGCCTGGCCCAGCAGCCATGCGCCCATGCCTCCTACCCGCGGTGGAGCTCCGCGCTTCTGCTAAGGCAGCTAGCACGCACGCAGACCTCAGGACTCCGGGGCGGGGCCAGGCGCCACGTGACTCCAGATAACTGCCAGAGGGGCGCACCTAGGCTGCTGCCTGAGCCGTGCAGGTTGCTTTGACTCAAAAAGGCCCTGGAACTTTTTGTTCCGGAAGAGCTGAAGCCCACAGGAGACCTAGGAACCTACCTCAGTTACTTCTCTAGCACTGTTACAGACAGGGACACTCTTCCCTAAAACTAATGCCTTGGAAAAAAACTAAGTACAGATTAAAAAACTATGTAGCAAAGAGTTCTGGGTTTAAAAACTATGTAGTAAAGAGTCTAATTTCCCAGCAGTGCAGGCATATGAGCAACTGTAAAACTACCCGCTTCTTGGAACACGGTTCCCATGGTGGTCAGCGGGAGGGAGCATGGGGGGAAAGAGTAATGGGAGAGGAAAGTATGAAAATATCACAGTGAATCCGTTACTTTGTGCAAAGAAAGTCAACTGAAAACTAAAGTAGTTCCTGCCCCC